GGTATGTTGACTCAACATAGTGTATCAATAGTTTCTCAATCAACGAAATGCATGTTTTCTCTTGATTCACGTTTCGAAGTTGAACACGTTATCAGTCAACAATATCAGTTTGAATGAATTGATAACTTTTTTGCTCCAGTTTTTTGTATCAACTCAACACTCAAACTAAAAATTGAGGCACAGTCTTGTTTTATTTCACTAGCGTTTCAATTTCACAAAAAGTTATTCCGCAAAGTTTTTAGAAGAATGGCTTATACTTTCAATAATTCAAACTTTTTTCACATAGCTTCATGAAAGTTCATTTATTCGCACTAACTTTCAACCTTTCAACGATGAAAAAATAATGAAAAGAACAAACTCTTACAATCGCTTCAAGGTAAGTTTTTAAGCATTTTTGTGTAGCTTTAGCCTGAAGGCTCAGCAAAAAAAAATACAATTTTCCGGCTGTCAACTGAGAAAAATCTGCTCCGCATTAGGCTGACAGTAAAACTAAAAATCCACAGACTGCTAACCAGTAGCGAATTTAGAAGAAGGCGACCAAAAAACTTTCTTATATGTTTTCGGCTAATCATGTTTGGTCTGTTTTATTTGACGATTTGCCAGTGGCGCAGAAAATTTAGTCAAATAATGTTCGCTATAGTGATATGGAAGAGCTCAGAACATCGATTTTTTCAACCTAGATAAATGCTCCCCCCTTGGAGAAAATAATAATTGTGGTTTTCTGCGATTCATTGAAGACCTATGAAAGGCAATTCAGCCCGTCTAAGCATATTCCGCTTCTCTTTCTTCACCACATTCCAGGCTGAATAGCTTTTCGTTTTTGCGACCCAAGGCCGTTTTTTGCGTCCTCAATTTTCACGTGATGCAACTATGACAGCCAAAATTTGTCCGGCTGTGATAGACCTGATTCTAGAGGCCAAGTGAGAGCTCGTGATGGCACACTACCAATGCTATTGCAAATTAATTGGAAGTTCTGATGATCTAGAAGTTAGCGCCTTACCGCAATGTATAGGCGCCCTAAAGTTTTTCAGATTTTCCTAAAATAGTTTATTGATTGATAGTTGATTAACTGCTTTTTTTTCTAATCTGAAGCATGAAACATTTGCAACTAACAGTTGGAAAAGAGTAATGAAGTCAAGTAAACAGAAGACAAAAACACTGACTATGTTGAGATATATATTCAGCGGCGGATCTAGGATTATCTGAGCTCTCCTAAATCATTAAAAAAACCTCATTTCGACCAATTTTTCTGCTTTTTAATAAGTGATAGGATCCGTCACTAAAAATGGATATCTCAACATAGTACAGAGGGGGACCCTTTGAGTCAACAGGGTGTCGAATCTCTGAAAAAAAGCGTCCGACCCCCCCCCCCCCCCCCTTAAATCCGGTACTGAACTCTAATTGGTTTTGTGCTTAAATAAATATTCAAATATTCGGCTGTGTGGCCGTTCTGCGTCCTGGTACTCCAAGTGGCCTTCTTCTCGATTGCAATCATCATCTACGAACAACATTCAAAATAAGGCTCGCCCCCCCCCCCCTAAATCCGGTGTTGTATATATCCATGTTTTTCAGATCTTACAAAAACCCGTTTTGAAGTAACCAAGTAAAAATTTAAGATTTGTTGATAAAAATTTGTTGAGCGCAAATAATCAGTCCTTTCCATCAAAAAGCCTTTGTTAAAAAGAAAACATGAAAATTTTTCAAATGTCATGAAAACTCTGCTCAAAAAAAAAGAAAAAATCAAATATGTCTGGAAAAATTCCAGCAAGCCAAATAAACATCGTCTCCCTCAAAAATTGGTAATTCCAAATAACTTCTAAATTTTTGCAGTTTTGACTTTCAAAAAGAATGTAAACAAATTCGTGCTCGGCAGTGGGGGTTCTGTTTGTACAGACAATCTTCTATTTTTTAACAAGACTTCTCGTATCAGGGCGAAGCCCTGAATGTTCCGACTGCCTTTTGAGGTTTATGGAGCATCAGTAATAACATAAAAAAATAAATCAAATAAAATAAAATGAAATTTTTTTTTCTAAAATTTGAAATTTTTTATGAAAATTATCCCCCCACACGCCATTTAAAGTACAAAAAGATAGATTTCGTTCCTTGTAACAAATCAATTATGGTGAATAAGCTTCGTTCAACCAATTTGGAACGATTTATAAGACGGATTAAATCTCCGCTTACGCGTTAATAGCGCGAATTATATCGCGCGTTAATTGTCCCAAATTGGTCAAAATGGCCAAAATGGCAATCTTTAAACCCTCTTAACTAAACGAAAAATGATCACAGGGGAAATATCTTTTCAAATTTAAGCTCAGGACAAAAATGGCTTTCGAATGATATAAAAAAATTCCGTCAAAAATGGCTAGTTAAAAAGTCGAAATTTGTCTGAAGAAAAAAAACCCACCCCGAGCACAAATATTCCGTTACTTTCGTATCGAAAGTGGGAACAATAATGCAAATTGGACAAGAATTTGTTAGCTTTCTGACGTTTGTAATAAATAATGCGCAATGTTTCATGTACTATTAACCTAAATGACAAAATGATTATTTCCCAACCAATTAGACACCAAATTTTTGGTCTTATAATACGTTACCAGACGCTTTGTATAGCGTCCAGGGGAATGAAATAATGAACTAATACGTATGGAAAACTTTAAAAACAATGTAAAACATATTATCATTGTTTATTGAAAACTTTTACAATCGCTTCAAGGTAATTTTTTAGGCATTTTTATGTAATGAGAAAACTAAGCTCCGCATTAAGGTGTGAGTGAAATAAAAAATCCACTCAGTAGCAAATTTAGAAGATGATGACCAAAAACTTTTTCTTCATGTTTTCGGCTAATCTTCTTTGGCCTGTTTTATTTGACAATTTGCCAGTGGCGCAGAAAGTTTGGTCTAATAATTTTCGTTATAATGATATGGAATTGCTCAGAACATCAATTTCGTCAACTAGATAAACTCCAAAGCAGTTGAAAAAGACTAACGAAGGCATGTAAACAGAAGAAAAAAACACTGACTTTGCTGAAAAAATCTTTCGAATTGAAAAAAATAGACGTTTCTTCAGCTCTTTGATTTTTTAGAACGATGTATGATTGGCGCTTCTTTATAAATATTAACCTAAAGTTTAACTATTAATAAAAAGTATTATATAAATAATAACTTTAAAAAAATGGATCAACAGATAAAGTTTTCATTCCGCTGAAATTACACTACACTTCCGAAACTAAAAATCGTTCACGTTTTTTCGCGTCATTTCAACGTTCGTATTGGGACAGTGCTATTTACGTAACTTTCAGCAGATGAATTTCAATTGAACTCAAAAACTGCATATATACCTAAGTACATTTTATATGTATGAGTGCACATCTGTCATTACTCGAGCATTTCAATGAAAATCACTAAAACCTATATATGAGTCTTCATTACGTTCATTTCTCTTATACATAGGCTATTACGATGTTCCGTTACAGATGATGTAACTTATTGAATGTTTTGATTAAATAAAACTTTCTCACAGAGGCGTTAGTACTCCCGGGTTGACCTCCATACACCAAAAATGCTTATCATACAATTCCATACATCAAGTGTTGGAAAAAATGCTTGTCATACAATTTTCATACAATTTTGAAAAATGATAGAAGAAAGGTTTAAACTAATTTCTGCGGCTGTTTGATTCTAATAAAACAGTCGGGAGATGAAAAAATTGAGGTTTTTGTTTTTTGAAAAAACCTTTATCATACAATTCCCATATATGGAAATTGTATGATAAGCATTTTTTTCATTATTGATAAAGTTTTCAGAAATCTTTTGAAAAGGTTTTTTAAGAAGCTGTATAAAATAGAAAAGCGGCTTTGGCTCAAGGTAGGTTGTTTTTTTCTGCGAAAACAGCATTTCAGTTTGGAATGAAAAAAAATGCTTATCATACAATTCCCATATATGGAGATTGTATGATAAGCATTTTTTTCATCATTGATAAAGTTTTCAGAAATCTTTTTAAAAGGTTTGTTGAGTAGCTGTATATGTGTCAAAAGCGTTTTTGGCTCAATGTAAGTTTTTTTTCAGCGAAAACAGCATTTCAGTTTGGAATGAAAAAAACGCTTATCATACAATTCCCATATATGAAAATTGTATGATAAGCAATTTTTTCATCATTGATAAAGTTTACAGAAATCTTTTGAAAAGGTTTGTTAAGAAGCTGTATATGTGTCAAAAGCGTTTTTTTGCTCAATGTAAGTTTTTTTTTCATCGAAAACAGCAATTCAATTTGGAATGGAAAAAAATACTTATCATGCAATTTTTTGTAAGTTTCTGTGTTTTGGGTCGTCCAGCTCACGTACAGGTTTGTTTTTTGTTTGAGCCCCTCGCCCAGTTACTGGTTCCCATAGGATAAGGTTAAGGAACTTGTTGCTCTCTCAAGAGTTGAGAAGATTTTCTTGCAGAAAATGTACAATTTGAGCTTCAAACCTCTAAAGTACTGCAATTTTTCTCAAGTTTTCTTCTCTGTTCAGAGATTGCACGTTTTATGGGATGGGCTTTGACGTAATTTTTGCCTGACTTTATTTTAAAAAAGTGGTAATCATACAATTTTCATAAATGACAAACTTTTAGTCATACAATTTTCATATATGGGAAACTTCTAATTTTACAATTTCCAAATATGGGAAAATGTTTATCATAGAGATTTCATACAATTTTCTGTACGTATGGAATTGTATGGAATTGTATGACAAGAAGTTTCTCATATATGGAAATTGTATGATTAGAAGTTTTGGTCAACCCGGGCTATTTGTAACACCGACAGAGACGTTAGTTCTTCTTGGAATATTGGTGTTCGGATTTTAAAAAGCAAAGTCCGGTTCAAAAACTGTCCGGTTTCAGAAGCAGTGGTATTATAGCAATAAACAAAGTGCCTGCCGAAATGCGAATTGAGTGAAGACTTATAATTAGCATAAAAAAATTTTCATATAGTTTAACTCTTTGCGTGCATAAGTCTCGCCCATAATCAAGTTGAGTTCAACCAAGAATTACTTCGTTTGCATCTTGTTAACTATTCCTCCGTTTTGCAAAGGGGGATTCGTTTCAAGAAATAAAATTAGCATTTGCTCAAATGTTCAATTCTCTCTTTAATCGAATTATTTTTTATAAATCTGGTGATCAGTTAAAATTAATCAAAACCCAAAAAAATATGTCTCTGTCAGCAGCTGTTTCCATTTTTAGGAAACGTATAACAGAAAACAATCGTTTACGTTAGCGCCAGAAGTTAAAGTCCAATAGGCATTTCTAGCTGCACTTTATGATTGGCTGATGGATAAAGCTTCCAAATTTCCTGTCACTGTCGATATCCCATCGTCAATCCCTCGAAGTTGATTTTGACACAAGATGTGTTCAATGAACAAATTGCGAATTTCGAAGCGCATGTGATGATTTGGGGAATCTGATTTAAGTGTAGCCTTCAAACCGAAGTAGAGCCTGCACTGTTTTTGCAATGTCTGAAACAAAATAATTGTCACTTTTCAAATTACTTCTTGTAATGAACATCTGACTAACGGATAAGATGATTTGAGCCGGTCGAGATGCTTGTTAATGTGTCAATTATTCAAAAAACAATCTTTTGACTTAGAAAACGGTCGGTTGACTGTGCAAATGTTTTAAGCTTTTGTCTCGTGCATTTCGAAATATAAAGATTAATCAATAAAAAAATTCTACGGCTTTTTTAGGAACCTTATCTTTCAAAACGAATAAGCCCAAAGTAAGTCTGAACAGTCCGCAAATGTGAACCTTGATAATTTGAAAAGACCTCATAGTTTTAGAAAAATTAAAATATCTTCCCACACTGATTTAATGTTTCAGACAATTAGAAGAAGTGTTTATTTCTTCGGTTTTTTAAATCAGGTTGGATTTTTATAAGCTTTATGGAAACCGACAGTGAAAACTAGCTTGAGGAGGTATCTTCAACCAGGCAAAAGCAAAACGGGAGTGTGTACAAAACGGGAGACAAAAGGGGAGAAATGTGGAATCGGCACTGTTAGTGTTTCTGTAGAGCTGTGAAAAACAAGATTGTAAAATTAAGGATTTCAAGTTTAAGCAAATAAAAATTGATTATAGGCTCCGAGCTCAGGAAAGATATACTAGCAAGGACTGAGTTTTTCTACGGAAGCAACCGTTAAATGCAAGGGAAGTAACTGGTGTTAAGGATGCCACAGTTGATTTTTTCAACACAAACCTAAAAATTATATTTTTCGTGAGATGATTAAAACTTGTCATAGGTTTATGGGGAATTAAAGAAAAATATATGCTTTCTACCTTCAGCATTTTGTCTGCTTCAACAATAAGCGTGCACTTTACTTGGTCAAAAGGCATGTAAAGTATCAGAAAAAAAAATGTAAACAGGCGTAATAAACACATTACAGAACAAGACGCAGAAATCAAGAAAGCGGCCAATGTTATTGACTTGATAACTACCAAACACATTTGCAGTGTATCAGTTCTAGTCTATGACGGAAAACGTCAAAGTGAAACAAATATAGTGCGTTTACCCCCACTTGGCTAATAATATTAATGAAAAAAACCTGCCGAAAACAAAAATTTGTCAATATATTGCATAGTGAACGGAACAAGCGTGCCGATGTTGAACTCTTTTGGAATTACACAAATAATGTAAGATTTCATGTAAGGCAATTGAAGTGCTCTTACATCTTAAAATGGGTAGATTTGTCAGTAATGAAGTATGAAACAAGACTCCTCATATCAAGGCGAAGCCCTGAATGTTCCGACTGCCTATTCAGGTTTATGGAGCAGTAATAACAATGAAATATTTAAAAAAAATCATATAACAAAATGAAATTATTTTTTTTTCAAAAAATTTGAATTTTTTAATGAAAATCATCACCCCATACGCCATATAAAGTACAAAACAATAGATTTCGCTCCTTGTAACGAATAAATTATGGAAAATAAGCTTAGTTAAACCAATTTGGAACGATTTCTAAGGCGGATTAACTCTCCGCTTACGCGTTAATAGCGCGAAATGTATCGCGCGTTAATTGTCCCAATTGGCCAAAATGACAATCTTTTAACCCTCATAATTTTACGAAAAATGATCACAGGTGAAATATTTTCTCAAATTTGGGCTCAGGACAACAATACCTTTCGAATGATATTTAAAAATTCCGTCAAAAATGGCTAGTTAGAAAGTCGAAATTTGTCTGAGAAAAAAAACCCACCCCGAGCACAAATATTCCGTTACTTTCGTATCGAAAGTCGGAACAATTACTCTGTTTTTATTACTCTTGTCATGTGGACAAAAATTTAATTAAATAAAAGAGAATCTTTTCATTTTTCTTGTTGTTCCGACTTTCGATGCGAAAGTAACGGAATATTTGTGCTCGGAGTGGGGAGTTTTTTTTTCTTCAGACAAATTTCGACTTTTCAACAAGCCATTTTTGATGGAATTTTTTATATCACTCGAAAGGTATTGTTGTCTTGAGCTTAAATTTGAAAAGATATTTTACCTGTGATCTCTTTTCGTAAAGTTATGAGGGTTTAAGGATTGCCAGTTTGGCCAATTTGGTACAATTAACGCGCGATATATTTCGCGCTATTAACGCGTAAGCGGAGAGTTAATCCGCCTTATAAATCGTTCCAAATTGGTTAAACGAAGCTCATTTGCCATAATTGATCTGTTACAAGGAACGAAATCTCTCTTTTTGTACTTTGTATGGCGTGTGGGGGGATGATTTTCATTTAAAAAATTTCATTTTATTTTATTTCATTTAATTTTTTTTATGTTTTTACTGCTGCTTCATAAGCCTTAATAGGCAGTCGGAACATTCAGGGCTTCTCCCTGATACCCTGATACAAGCAGTCTTGTTGCGTTTCGTTTTCATTTTTTTTGCACTTTAAAGGAACACAAGAAAAAACAATCTCTAAGGACAAGGCCTCAAATGAAATTGTTTTATTTCCTCAGAGCTCATGTAATACGTTCGAAAATGTCAAGTTAGTATTTTTACAAGACTATTGATGTTTTTGCGCAATTTTCGCAAGTGTGATTTCCGCGCTGCCCTGGGATCTTTAAACGATTATAGGAAGAACGGCAAACTGATTTGAAAATCGGATAAAAGATAACAAGACTCCTCATATCAAGGCGAAGCCCTGAATGTTCCGACTGCCTATTCAGGTTTATGGAGCAGTAATAACAATGAAATATTAAAAAAAAATCATATAACAAAATGAAATTATTTTTTTTTCAAAAAATTTGAATTTTTTAATGAAAATCATCACCCCATACGCCATATAAAGTACAAAACAATAGATTTCGCTCCTTGTAACGAATAAATTATGGAAAATAAGCTTAGTTAAACCAATTTGGAACGATTTCTAAGGCGGATTAACTCTCCGCTTACGCGTTAATAGCGCGAAATGTATCGCGCGTTAATTGTCCCAATTGGCCAAAATGACAATCTTTTAACCCTCATAATTTTACGAAAAATGATCACAGGTGAAATATTTTTTCAAATTTGGGCTCAGGACAACAATACCTTTCGAATGATATTTAAAAATTCCGTCAAAAATGGCTAGTTAAAAAGTCGAAATTTGTCTGAGAAAAAAAACCCACCCCGAGCACAAATATTCCGTTACTTTCGTATCGAAAGTCGGAACAATTACTCTGTTTTTATTACTCTTGTCATGTGGACAAAAATTTAATTAAATAAAAGAGAATCTTTTCATTTTTCTTGTTGTTCCGACTTTCGATGCGAAAGTAACGGAATATTTGTGCTCGGAGTGGGGAGTTTTTTTTTCTTCAGACAAATTTCGACTTTTCAACAAGCCATTTTTGATGGAATTTTTTATATCACTCGAAAGGTATTGTTGTCTTGAGCTTAAATTTGAAAAGATATTTTACCTGTGATCTCTTTTCGTAAAGTTATGAGGGTTTAAGGATTGCCAGTTTGGCCAATTTGGTACAATTAACGCGCGATATATTTCGCGCTATTAACGCGTAAGCGGAGAGTTAATCCGCCTTATAAATCGTTCCAAATTGGTTAAACGAAGCTCATTTGCCATAATTGATCTGTTACAAGGAACGAAATCTCTCTTTTTGTACTTTGTATGGCGTGTGGGGGGATGATTTTCATTAAAAAAATTTCATTTTATTTTATTTCATTTAATTTTTTTTATGTTTTTACTGCTGCTCCATAAGCCTTAATAGGCAGTCGGAACATTCAGGGCTTCTCCCTGATACCCTGATACAAGCAGTCTTGTTGCGTTTCGTTTTCATTTTTTTTGCACTTTAAAGGAACACAAGAAAAAACAATCTCTAAGGACAAGGCCTCAAATGAAATTGTTTTATTTCCTCAGAGCTCATGTAATACGTTCGAAAATGTCAAGTTAGTATTTTTACAAGACTATTGATGTTTTTGCGCAATTTTCGCAAGTGTGATTTCCGCGCTGCCCTGGGATCTTTAAACGATTATAGGAAGAACGGCAAACTGATTTGAAAATCGGATAAAAGATAACAAGACTGCTCGTATCAGGGCGAAGCCCTGAATGTTCCGACTGCCTATTCAGGTTTATGGAGCAGTAATAACAATGAAATATTAAAAAAAAATCATATAACAAAATGAAATTTTTTTTTTTTCAAAAAATTTGAATTTTTTAATGAAAATAATCACCCCATACGCCATATAAAGTACAAAACAATAGATTTCGCTCCTTGTAACGAATAAATTATGGAAAATAAGCTTAGTTAAACCAATTTGGAACGATTTCTAAGGCGGATTAACTCTCCGCTTACGCGTTAATAGCGCGAAATGTATCGCGCGTTAATTGTCCCAATTGGCCAAAATGACAATCTTTTAACCCTCATAATTTTACGAAAAATGATCACAGGTGAAATATTTTTTCAAATTTGGGCTCAGGACAACAATACCTTTCGAATGATATTTAAAAATTCCGTCAAAAATGGCTAGTTAAAAAGTCGAAATTTGTCTGAGAAAAAAAACCCACCCCGAGCACAAATATTCCGTTACTTTCGTATCGAAAGTCGGAACAATTACTCTGTTTTTATTACTCTTGTCATGTGGACAAAAATTTAATTAAATAAAAGAGAATCTTTTCATTTTTCTTGTTGTTCCGACTTTCGATGCGAAAGTAACGGAATATTTGTGCTCGGAGTGGGGAGTTTTTTTTTCTTCAGACAAATTTCGACTTTTCAACAAGCCATTTTTGATGGAATTTTTTATATCACTCGAAAGGTATTGTTGTCTTGAGCTTAAATTTGAAAAGATATTTTACCTGTGATCTCTTTTCGTAAAGTTATGAGGGTTTAAGGATTGCCAGTTTGGCCAATTTGGTACAATTAACGCGCGATATATTTCGCGCTATTAACGCGTAAGCGGAGAGTTAATCCGCCTTATAAATCGTTCCAAATTGGTTAAACGAAGCTCATTTGCCATAATTGATCTGTTACAAGGAACGAAATCTCTCTTTT